ACCCCTCCCCCTCTCCCCTTCTCCGTGCCGTTGGCTAATCAGGCGGAGAACAAAGGGGTTGGCCACATTTGAGGCGGGCAGGAGCGGCGGCAGCAGCAGCAGCAGCAGCAGCAGCAGCAGCAGCAGCGTAGGGCCTCTGGACCGACCGCGGGTAAAGCGAGCGATTGCCCGAATAAATAGCGAACAGGAACAAACTACTACTGCATTCTCTGTGCGCGACGGTGAGCGCTGCTGCTGGAAGGCGAGCGGCGGTCGGCTCAGCAGCTGAAAGTCGCCCCGCCGCCGCCGCCGCGGGTCCGCGGGTCTCTGACCCTCCCTCCCTCCCCTGCCGCCAATGAGATGGGATCGCCTCTTGCGTAACCTTCTGCCGCCCACGCCGCGCCGCCGCCCTTTCCTGTTGGTCGATACGCCATACCGGCGTGATGTCACGATTTATAAAATAATGACGGGAAAACAAAACAGCGGCAACAACAAGCGGCGGCGCGGCAAAAAGACGCCCCCACACCACACCCCCCGCGCAGCCGCCGCGCCTCTGCAAAGGGCGCGGCTGCTCGACGACAACGACGAGGACGTCACGTACCACCACCACCGGTTCGACGTCACTTCGACGTCATCCTGGCGGGGGCCGCGTCATCACTCATGATAAGGGCTCATCCTGGCAGGGACCTCGGCGTCGTCGCGCCGCCCGCGGCCGCAGATAACGGCGCACGGTACAGTACGGTGCTTTTGCTGCTCGAGACGGTCCCGAGGTGTCGGGCGTGGGCGGGAAGCGACGGATCAGTGCCATCAGTATATATATATGGCAGGCAGGGGACAACATCCTCTCTCCGTTGTCTTCCGATCAGTCCGCTGGCTCCTCCCCGTTAATCTTTTTATATCGATGACAGCACAGGAAGGAAAAGTACTGAAATGCAGACGAATGCAGGGAACAAAAAACGGAAGTCACCATGTTTAAGCATAGTGTTTTCCGTTTTCTTCTTCTTCACCGCTTTCCTCTGCAGAAGAATGTATCCCCTGATCAGGTGGCGTGGCGTGGCGCCGTTCCCAAACAAAGCAAGCAGATCGCAGGCGACCACTCAGTGTTTTGCCGAGGTCGCCGCGAGTGGATGTGATGTGTGATCATCGGCTTTCGATACACCAAGTTTTCTAGAGTGTTTAAAATAAATGGATGTAGATTATACTGAAATAGAAATATTGTGGGGAAAAGTGGTTCTGCAACTTTTGTCTTTGGAAAAGTAAGTTTACTCAATCTTTAAAACCGTCCCGGTGTCGTTGTCTAGGTTAGTGCGCCGACATACAGCATTGGTACAATTTTAACTGAACGAGAATGAATATCAACTGACGAAAAAAACCTTTGTTTAAGGTGGTACCAAAGAGGCCCGTTCAAAACTGTTTGAAATCTTTACGACATGCAACCTAACCTCTCTTCTGCTTTGTTTAGGGACGGCGCTACGCCACGCCACGCCACCCCGCCACCGCTACACTCTTCTTGTTCCTCTTATCGGGCAGCTTCCTCATGGCCGAAAATCAGAAGTGTTATGGGTAAGTGTACTGGCGTTTCGCCTCGCGTTTCGCACTTAATCCTAGTAATTTAAGAGTAGTCATAGAAGCGATTTCTCTCTCACCTAGATGTTGCCCTGGCTTCCGGCTTCCGTTCTCGTACTTCCACTGCAGCATACCCTTTGAAGTATACCGTGCCGTGTAGGAAAGTTATTATTCTCCCAAAATACATAAGGTTGTCGTATTCCTCCCTCACTGTCCCGACACGTTCATCGGGGCGCCGTGTGGCCGTACATCCTGTGTGTGTGTGTTTGTGTGTGTGTGTGCGCGCGCGCGTGCGCGTGTGTTCGCGAGTTCGGTCCACTGCACTCCGATCGCATTTGCCGTGTTATAAGCCCTTGTTGGCGTGGCGCGCGGCCGGCCGTGCGGACGCGCAGGGGCCAAACAAGCGCCCTCCCGCCCCCGCTCCACCCCCGCCCCGCCTCTACTTATTACCCCACCGTGCGCCCGGAGCAGGTGGGGACGGGGAAAAGGGGGGATGGGGAGGGAGTAGGCCTACCAGCCGGCCACCCCCCGCGCCCTTTAGAGCGGGTGGATTGGAGAGTGATGTAGCTTACAAGGGAACCTTTTCAGGTGTAAATCTCCGATTTCGTTGGTACTCGGAAAATTTAAAGGTTATTATAACAGAAATTGAATGGCACTTGAAATTTTTCCTAAACCTAACATTTAGTTTTCCCCTATATAAGGTAGGAGAAAGGTGTTAGAAAAAAATATTTTTTGAAAAATGTAAAGCAGTGTTCTAAGGGGTAACTCGTCAAAGTAGTGCCCTTTGGGTCAAAATTTTGTCCGTTTTGCTCTATTTTGAACCGTTAAAGCGGTAAAGGGATATTTGGAGCAAAAAACAGTGTCAGGCTTAAGTAAACCCCTAACAAATGTTAAGTTTAGGAAAAGTTTCAAGTGCCATCCGACTTCTATTATAATAACCTTTAAATTTTCCGAGTACCAACGAAATCGGAGATTTACACCTGAAAAGGTTCCCTTGTTAGCTTTAACCGGCTCGCGTCCCACCCGCCAAGCCCACCGTGAGCGAGAGGTTATTGTCGAAGCCAACGAAGGTCCGCAACGGCGACGACGACGACCGCGTGCCTCCCGCGAGGACGTCGCCGCCGGCCGTGCCCTGCTCCGCGGGGCCGCTGTGGCCTCTGTGGCCTCTGTGGCAAAGGGGTTGGCGCCCGGGCTGTGGGTGGGCGTCACCGCCCGCGCCGTCTCTGGTCCTAAGGGGGAAGGACACCGGAGCAGAACGGCGAGGCCCCTCCTGCGCCTTCCGTTCCGTCTCGTTCCGGCGGCCACGGGCCCCCGTGAAGAGTTTGAAAACTTATTAACGATTCAAGTTCCGACTGTTTATGTTGCTTCACTGGCAGCGAGGTGCAGCAGCAGCCCGCTATCATCTGCAGGAGTCCCGTGTCCGCCCGGCCCGCCCAGAGGGCCCGCCCACCAACAACAAACAAATAATAATTAATGAAGAGCCTTCTGCCGAGAGTTTCGGACGGGTTGGATAAAGTTGTGTCTTAGCGGTAAAAGTCGCAGACAGTTTTGAAGGTGATTACCAGCCTTGATTTAAGGGGGTGCCTTTGCTCGCGCTCGCGTCGGCCCGAAAACCACCTGGAGCTGCCCTCGAAAAAGCATTCCCGGCCAAAAGGGTCGTGGGCGCCGCCGCCTCCTGGAACCCTCCTGCTCCTGCAATGCAGGATCCCACACCCCGGAGCGAGCCAGCTCTGGCCGCGCTGGCCGCTATATCCACGCAAAATTTGATCATCCGCTGCTTACTTTGAGATTCGGCCAGGGCAAGGCCCGTCCCCACCCCCACCAGTATGGTTGCGTTTATGAGTGGTCTCATATCGGCCTCTCCCCCGTAGCCCCCCCCCTCTCTCTCGGCCCTGCTCACCTGTTTTCCAATCGTGTTTGTAGATGCCGCCCGTGTACGTGCCCGGCGTGCCAACCGAGCATCTTCCCCTCTGCCGCAACCCGCCCAACCCGCTCTGCTACCCCTCCCCCTCCCCTCTCTCGCTCCTCTCTCTCTCTCTCTCTCTCTCTCTCTCTCTCTCTCTCTGCGGGTCCAACTCTTCAACCCTTCGTGGCTCATACCGCCAGCTGCAGGAGGAGGTGCGTCGAGGCCAGCAGATGCTGGCTGTTTTGATCCCCGACTGATTTTCCTGCGGCGGAATGGAAATTAGTGTCGGCGTGTTGTTAACCTTTTGCGAGGGGAGGGAGGAGGGGTAAGGGGTGTCCCCGCCCTGTTGGCAAACGAATGAAATGGCAGTGGCATATTGCACAATGTTGTGAATGATTTCGCCTATGGGTCGCTGTCGTCGTGAAGAGCATACGTACGTGGCTGTAAAGGCCCCGGGATGAGTCAATATGTTGATGTCGGGTAGTTAGTAGTGCCGTGGGGGATGGGGGCGCATGCTAGTAGATCGAGCGGTGCGGGGGGGGG